GTACAAAAGCGTACAAAACCGTACATCCTGCACTAGGACACAAATCCCGTACCCGTACAAAAGCGTACAAAACCGTACATCCTGCACCAGGACACAAGACCCGTACCCGTACAAAAGCGTACAAAACCGTACATCCTACACTAGGACACAAAACCCGTACCCGTACAAAAGCGTACAAAACCGTACATCCTGCACTAGGACACAAAACCCATACTCATACGTATATATATATATATATAATCTTTGCTTTGAATTAATGTGTATTATATATGGGTTCAGGTTTTGTGTCCTACTGCAGGAAGTACACTGGAAGTGCACTTGCACACATATGATTGCAGAGCTGGGCTTGTGATCTGGGACGACCATACTCATTGGGGAAATTGGCTGAGTTGTGTTAAAATGCTTCGTGATTCTAGCAAATACGTACTAAGTCCAGAGTTAGGATGCAACACGGAGGAGTCCACACTAGCAAAGTGTAGCAGCACCAACGAAGATCGGAAGCTGGGCCTTTGTCTTAAGTCTGTACCATACAATACTCTACCCTCAGGTGTCAGGGTTTCGAGACTAAGCTAGAATTGTGCACATCATTAACCGGACAAGAAAAAAGCTTCTTTAAACGATATTAGAGGGCCCAAGCCAGGCTGCCAAACCAAATGTGTGAAAGACTGATTAACCCAGCTCTGCACTTGAAACATAATTAGCAGGCCGAGGCAAGCTTCGACTCAAAAGGCCAGCAGCCCAAAGCTTGACAGGAGTGGTTTTAGGGCTCGGGTGTACTTGCTCAGCTGAGCAACGATCCTTTCAATTCAAGATATCTAGCTAAACAATGTGTAGGAGGACTACTGGAGTACGTGCAGAAAGATGTCCGGGGTATATTACGGCCTAGGTTAACCTTGGGGGCTCTGGACCTTTCAGCGATGCTCATCGATCAGATTCGACTCCAAGACCATATAGAGTCCTGCGGCCAGGCAATTAATGATTTCCGAACACCGACATGCATCGGCCTGGCTGTGGCAACCGAGTTCGCTTTGCAATGATTCATGCTAATGCAGTCCTTCCCCTTGTGCCTCCCCTGGCATGTGTCCTGAGGATAGAGGTCATGTTAGACTAGAATCAAGAAGCAGCCGAGGGTTCACTTTCAAGGGCACGATCTTATTCCGAAGCGATTGTTTAGGCGTAGTTGTATAATCTTGCGGCACGAAGCGATCCTGATCTGGATGACCAACAACTAAGCCTAATTTGCGACCCAAGGCTTCAGGGTTGGGAAACGGGGCCTAGACCCTAACCCAGCAAGCTTCAAAACTCGAGCTCGAAGTTAAACATACAAGTTGACTCTAGACTCCAGACTAGTACCCCAAACCCCTAAACCCCAACGGCCCTCCAGCCCCAAACCTCGATCGTCAACAGATGCCAAACCTCGAACCAAAAATCCGAAAGGAGTTTGGGCCCTGTATTTTGGCTCCCAACCCGGACATAGGAAGCCACGGACCCCTGTCGAGGGTGCCCTCTCCTGCGGTGTGGATATCACCGCCATGCAGGCGGCCTGGTCGTTCTAGGCTCCAACTCCTGAATAAAGAAAGAGAGGGCTTGATGGATTGGAGGTTCGGGGCGGCTTATATTAATCAATTGGGATGGGCGGGGGTTTCTTGTGCAAAGGGTCCGGGATTCCCAGGTTCTTCGTCTGACAGGTTTAGGATTTGGGGCCGAGAATATTTTTAGGATGCAGGGCAGTATGTTTAGAGAGGCACGGGTTTCTGATGTCCAGCACAAGCACCGATAGATTTAGTGAGCTCCAAGGCTCATGTGTCCCCCTTCGAAAGGCTCTGACTAGTAATTAGCCCGGTATCCATCACTAGTATAGGCTAGTGAGGCTTCATATTAGGCCAGCGATTAATCTTTTTCGGACATTTACTAGGATTTCGGGGTTTTGGGTTAAGGGTTTAGGGCTCAAAACCACAAACAAAGTGTGCATATTCGCCGTGCACCAGGATCTTCGCAATAGGTTGTACAACACAAGTTCGAAGGGCAACTGTTACAAGAGCTAGAAGAACTCTAGGCAACTCGTCCACGACATAATATATTATGTCCTTGGCTCCGACAGACCCAAGCTTTTTCACGAGCTAGTTGAAACCCCGTGAACAAAAATCCCGGGCCTGGATCTGTTACAGATCCTGGCCAAGTTTGTTTTCGCAGCCCCACCAGGTCCTGGGCCGGCCGAGCCACGGATTCGAAGGAGTGTGGGGCCCAAAAAGTCTCAACTCATGCCCTATTAATAATACGAACCCCTATTACTATAGGCCCCACGAACTAGAAATATTTGAGTGAACACTGCGGCGTACATGATATTGTGACAAGGATAAACCCTAGGAGTACATCTCGAAGTCGTGCGAAGTTTCAGGATACCCACAATCGACGACACAGGCTTTCAGGTATGTGGAACCCAATACTATTCTTGGCTGGCTCTGGATTCCATGCGTGACTTAAGT